TCCCCCACTGTCAACAACAACACAGCATCTGTTAGTGCCAAGCCATCCTATCAAAGACTGGAGATAGAAATCTGGGTAACACTTTGCTTGAACCGTCCTTCATAAAGGCTAACTAACACTGTCATAGCACTGTCATAACAATGACATAACATCATGGGTGTTGGTGTCAAGCTGAGAGAGGGCTGTGTCTATGCGTGCATGTGTCCTCACCACAATGTGCCCGCTCCTCGTCAGAGCTGTCCTGACAGTCGTCATCACCGTCACACACCCAACGCTTAGGGATACAGTGGCCCGTGAGACACTGGAAACTACTGGCCTCACAGGTATGGTGACCCACTGAGACAGGGAGGGAGGGAGGGAGGGAGTGAGAGTGATGGAGAGACAGAGGATATGTGCAACGTTCCACAGCGTTTTCCTTTTGAAAATGGCCCTGATCTCACCTGTACAGTTGGCTTCGTCCGACCAGTCCCTGCAGTCGTTGTCTCCGTCACATCGCCAGGCCTCGCGGATACACACGCCCCGCGCACACGTGAACTCCCCTGGTCCACACTGGTGACTCTCTGGGATACACACACACACACACACACATACACAGTCAGTAATCAGAGGAAGCATCACTTGGCTATATACAATCTCAAAAGTCATACAGGATAGAGCACACGTTGTCAGTAAAAAAACATGCTTGGAAGTGAGTGTGCATGCACACACCCACACACACACACACACAACTGAATGGATGGATACAAAACACACACACACGCACTCTCTCTTCCTCGTACCACAGTGTTCCTCGTCACTATTGTCCCCACAGTCGTCCTCGTGGTCACACTTGAAGGCCAGCGGGATGCAGGAGCCGGACGCCACACAGCGGAACTGGATGGACGGGTCACAGGAGGTGGTGGCTGGAGGGGGACGGACAGGGGGGCAGAGGGACAGACAGAATGACAGGGTGTTGACATTGAGCCCAGAAGGACAGAGAGAGAACAGCAGCAGAGACCAAAGCAGAGTGTATTGTAACAGTGTGAGAGCAACAAACTCTAGTCTAGCTCTATTGAAGATTATCTGTTGGATCTATTTTATTCACTATGTACTTCACAAACAAGGATTCAGCACCCAACCATTTTTATAATAATAATAATAATAATAATAATAATAAACAGAATAATCTGAGTGAGTGAGTTGTCCATTGTCTAGCTGTGCGTCTGAAATGGCCTGGTTAAAAGTAGTGCACTATATAGGGAATAGGGTGCCATTTGGGCTCTACTCACGGCACTCCTGCTCGTCACTCATGTCGCCACAGTCGTTGTCGCTGTCGCACTTCCAGATGCTGCTGATGCACTTGCCGTTGGAGCAGCGGTACTGGTTGGGCAGGCACATGTGTTCTGGGGGAGTTGAATTTAATTCGATTTTGGGTTGCAAATAAAACACACATCATCAAGAAGTGTATTTGAATCCTAAAGGTTGGAATGGCTGCACCATTGTGGATCTGTAGTACTATTTACGCATAGTCACTTTACCCCTACCTACATGTACATATTACCTCAATTACCTCGACTAACCTGTACCCCCGCACATTGACTCTGTACCGGTACCCCCTGTATATAGCCTCGCTATTGTTATTTTATTGTGTTACTATTTTTCCTTTAGTTAATTTAGCAATTTTTTTTTACTTTTTCAAACTCTGCATTGTTGGTTAAGTGCTCGTAAGTAAGCATTTCATGGTAAGGTCTACACCTGTTGTTTTCGGCGCATGTAACAAATGAAATGTGATTTGATCAGTAGTATTTTGTACCCAGCGAGACCATTGGGTGTGTGTGTGTGCACGTGTGTCTGTCAGAGAGCGTGTGCGCATGTATGTGAGTGTGTGTCTGGCCTCACCTGTCTTGACGCAGGTGTTGTTGTGGAGCCGGTAGCCGGTGGGACACTGGCACTGGAGCTCCCCGTTGGGTAGAGTGGTGGTGGGCGCTCCATCAGGGCATACACAGGTGTGGCGGTGCCCGGGCAGGGGCAGACACAGTAGGCTACAGGGTTGGTCTGCACAGGCATTATTGCCTAGAGGAGAGTGGACACACACACACACACAGGTTTGTCATGAGCAGACAAGTACACTTAGATCCAATGATGTGATTCGTCTAACTCTGCTGAGGTAGTGGGGGTGTCCAAACAAAGCTTCCAGTATTGTCGATTCCAGAGTAGCATTCTGACTACACATGATATCTATTTAATGCTGACCATTGAAGTTCTTGGAGGGTTTACTTACAATGGGCATTGATTCTTAAATATGGTTTCGCTGCTTGTCTCTCACCTCTGGTCTTGCCTTTGTAGAAGATTTTGAGGTCCATGACCCCGGTCAGTCTACCCACTATGAGTTCATTGTCTTTGGAGCCTGCTTTGGGAGCCTTGAAGATGCCCCTCCTTGACCAGTCATCCCAGTACAGGTCATTCTGAAAACACACACAGGCCAATGAAGATTTGCCCAGTAACTGTGAGATTATATGAAAACAAACCTGGATATCTTTTTACAATGGGACTGTGCTACTGTATGTGCCATGAGTTATCCCCAGTTTTGCACACTCAATAACCTTAAAGGTAGAATCTCTGCAATATGACATCATCATACACAGTGTGCCAACGTTTTTCTTCCAGACATCAATAACATTCTTATTTGCCAAGACTGCCTCTATTGGCTAATTCCAATGTGGACATGCTTCAAGGGAGGGGGTACATTTGGAAAAGTCAATAGTGACAGTCCTGGGCAGATTTGAATTCTGTTGTTGTTGACATCTGCAAGAAGGAAGTTGACAGGCTGTGTATGATGATGCCATATTGCAGAGTCTACCTTTGAAGACTTTAGACAAATTAACTAAGCTTGTAAGGCATTTATAAGTGATATTCTTCAAGAATCAATGGGTATACATCATTCATTTAAATATTCAAAGACGAGGGCCTCCCAAGTGCCGCAGCGGTCTAAGGTACTGCATCGCAATTCTTGAGGCGTCACTACAGCCCCGGGTTCGATCCCAGGCTGTGTTACAGCCGGCCGTGACCGGGAGACCCATTAGGCGGCGCACAATTGGCCCAACGTCGTCCGGGTTAGGGTAGAGTTTGGTCTGCAAGCTGACTTCGGGTGGCCAGTTGTACGGTGTTTCCTCCGACACATTGGTGCGGCTGGCTTCCGGGTTAAGCGAGCAGTGTGTCAAGAAGCAGTGCAGCTTGGCAGGGTCGCGTTTCGGAGGACGCATGGCTCTCGACCTTGGCCTCTCCCGAGTCCGTACGGGAGTTGCAGCGATGGGACAAGACTGTAACTACCAATTGGAGGTCACGAAATTGGGGAGAAAAAGGCGTAAAAGTACAAAATAAAAAACGGCTATAAATATCACAGAGCCTTAATACTCCATAAGCGCATCAACCGTTCTAAAGTACCTTGAAAACAGCAATGGCGTAGGGGTGAGGCAGGCCCTCCATGACCACGCTGCGCTGACTGCCGGCGAAGTCTGCCCGCTCGATGCGATCGCCGTAGGCCTCGGTCCAGTACAGCCATTGGTCGTCAGCTGTGATGCCGTTGGGCCAGCGAACGCCCTCGGACACGATGCATGACACGTTGGAGCCGTCCATGTAGCCGCGGTACACGCCGGCCGCACGGTCGCCCCAATCCGTCCAGAACATCAGGCTGGTAGGATAGAGGCATCACAGATTAAGCAAGTATATCAGACAGATATTAGCAGTGATGTTATTTACATTAAAGGGGCAATCTGCAGTTCAATCAAAAACAAAGCGGTAAAGTCCAAAATGTATGTAGCAATCACAGATTGCCCCTTTAACAGTCGGTCATGAGGGAGACCTTTTTTGTGTAAAAAAAGCTTTATAGATGCATTTGATTGAAAAATGTATGGTGATTATTCAAGGTTATTAGACTGTTACCTCTCTCCTGGCATGAGGACCAGAGCTCTGGGATGCTCCAGCACTGAGGAGTTGAGCAGAGTGTGACGTAGGTCCCCATCAGGGTTAGACACCTACACAACACAAGACATACACATGGAGTGGATCACCATCATCACACACTGTATTGCCTGATACTATACAGTAGCATGTCATTTATCAGGTGAGGATATAAATATAAATTAAACAAGGCGTCAATAAGATGGAGAAGAAAACCCCCCCGAAAATAACAATAAGGCCCGAGGGCGTGTGATATATGGCCAATATACCATGGCTAAGGGCTGTTCTTATGCACAACGCAACGCAGAGTGCTAGGACACAGCCCTTAACCGTGGTATATTGGCCATATATCACAAACCCCCGAGGTGCCTTATTGCTATTATAAATTGGTTACCAACATAATTAAAACAGTACAAATAAATGTTTTTTCATACCCATGGTATACGGTCTGATATACCACGGCTTTCAGCCAATCAGCATTCAGGGCTCGAACAACCCAGTTTATAAATATATATATACACTGAACAAAAATGTAAACGCAACATATAAAATGTTGGTCCAATGTTTCATGAGCTGAAATAAAAGATCCCAGAAATGTTCCATACGCACAAAAAGTGTATTTCTCTAAAATGTTGTGTACACATTTTTTAACATCCCTGGTAGTGAGCATTTCTCCTTTGCCAAGATAATCCATCCACCAGACAGGTGTGGCATATCAAGAAGCTGATTAAACAGCATGATCATTACACAGGTGCACCTTGTGCTGGGGACAATAAAAGTGCAGTTTTGTCACAACACAATGCTATAGATGTCTCAATTTGAGACATCATTTTAGATGGCGGTATGTCCAACCGGCCTGACAACCGCGTGTAACAATGCCAGCCCAGGACCTCCACATCCGGCTTCTTCAGCTACAGGATCCTCTGAGAACAGCCACCCGGACAGCTGATGAAACTGAGGAGTATTTCTGTCTGTAATAAAGCCCAGGCTGGGCCTGGCTCCCAAGTGGGTGGGCCTATGCTCTCCCAGGCCCACCCATGGCTGCGCCCCTGCCCAGTCATGTGAAATCCATAGATTATGGCCTAATGAATGTATTCAATTGACTAATTTCCTTATATGAACTGTAACTCAGTAAAATGGCTGAAATTGTTGCATGTTGCGTTTATATTTTTGGTTCAGTATTCATAAAATATTGGACAAATCCCTGATCCTCTTGTTTACCTCTATCCTCTGCGCTCCGGCGTCCACCCAGTAAAGCAGCCTGCTGATGGGGTCAAAGGTGAGGGCCTCCACATTCTGCAGGTCCTTCCTCACAATTACTTCCTGTCCCGTACTGCCGTTCAGACAAAGCCTCTGGAGGGGGAGAACAGGGAGGGATGTGGTCACTGAAGTGTGTGTATATACTTTTCACTAATCACAATTCACAATGTACTTTTAGTCTCTGAAGTGTGTGTAGGATATAGTGCACAAGTAATGTACTACATAGGGAATAGGATGAGTCATGGTTACATCTGAGTGCCTTCTGTGAAGGCCCTGACCTGTATGGTGTCCAGCGAGATGTCGGCCCAATACAGGCAGTTCCTTTCGTAGTCAAAGTCCAGGGCCACGGCCTCGCGGAGACCAGAGAGGGGCAGGGCCTGGTCGGTCCCTGTGGCCAGGTCATAGCGATGGATGGAGTTCCTCACAGCGTACAGGATGAACTCATTACTCTCTGGAGAAGATCAGGAAAAAAATAACACTTGATACAATTAATTCTAATCTATATCCATGTGAAGAGTAACAAATAGCCTTTTATTTTGTCTACAGCAGTACTGTGTCTAAAACAATTTCCCCCTTAGGGATATTAAAGTTAATCCTATCCTATCATTTTAAGTATAACATTTGAGTAATTCCACTTTTCATGAATTCACAAATACTTATTTGCTTTTTGGATCCCCATAACCTTTTCCAGCCGCAGCAGCTACTGTACCTGGGGTCTAACTTACATGTGTTGTTGCTGTAGCCTATGATCTACTGCTGGGGGCTAACCTTTGTATCTTTAACTAAATTCTCCCCATAATACGTGACTATAGGTAACTTAAGAAACCTTTTGCCTCAGTTGTACAACAGAGTTTCTTTAAGGTCTAGCAATAAAGATAAAACGGTAAGGCCCGTACCCTGTCATGACCCATGACCCACTGTCTTTGTCTGCTCTCACCGATCTGCTAGCTGCGAAAGTTGCAAACTTTTCAACCCTGTTCTTGGGGTTAGATTATCAGTTGTGGGGTGGTACTTAGCTAACATATGGAATTGTTTTAAGATGGTAATACCATGGATCATTTAGATATTTGATTATGAATTTTAGGCCCTTTAGGTATCCCCTCCAAAATATTACAATACTGAATATGGCCTTTACTACTATAGCCCATAGAAACAATGAAATACACATTAATAAATGGCAAAAAAGATCCAAAAAAATAAATCATAAGGAATAAGGTTTTGAAGTGTCTGTCCTTTAACTAGGAGATATAAGAAAGCTCAGGAAATATTTTCATTTTTTTGGACACATATTCAATGCCTTATTTTTGTTGGCACAAAACTACCTCTATCCTTTCATTTGTTTGTATGGGTTACCTTCAGACAAGTCCTGTGACACTTGTGGAGGCCGTAGAGCAAAACGGAGAACACCATCGTGTTCGTGAGAGTCTCCCCTTTCCATAGTGGCCTTTCCAAGTTAAAGTATTTGTGAACCCCTTATCAAGTGTCTCAGAGTGTATCTTATTCATTCAGGTGTCTCTTATTCATTGTGATCTAAAAGGCAAAACGTATCCTAAATCAGCACACTCCGAGATGCTTGATACCTACGGCCCATGGTCTGATTGTATGTGGGTAAGTATGTAATGCTGTGCTTCTGCTCTAATTACGTTTTTTTTTATTGGCCCATCCACCATGATGGTTCTTGGCCCAGCTCTAATGATGGATTCTTAATTGAGAGAGGGGAGGCTTACCTCCTACAGGACAGGGCAGCATCTCTCCATCCAGTCTGGCTTCTACATCCCCTCCACTACAGCTGTCCCCAGACACCTTCCTGTACCTGAGAGAGAGACACACACACACAAACTGGTTAACAACATGGTCAGACAAACACCCACCACCCAATATCACAACATTCACAACAAGAGCATGTGTACAACAAATGGTGTAATATAGTGTATCTTATGCGTAGTTGTGTAAACGAGGAGAACAAATGTTTACATGTTCCCCATTTTATATACACTGAGTATACAAAACATTAAGAACACCTGCCCTTTCCATGACAGACTGACCAGGTAAATTCAAGTTAAAGCTATGATCCCTTATTGATGTCACTTGTTAAATCCACTTCAAATCAGTGTAGATGAAGGGGAGGAGACAGGTTAAAGAAGGATTTTTAAGCCTTGAGACAATTGAGACATGGATTGTGTATGTGTGCCATTCAGAGTGTGAATGGGCAAGACAAAATATTAAAGTGCCTTTGAACAGGGGTATGGTAGTAGGTGTCAGGCACATCGGTTTGTGTCAAGAACTGCAACGCTGCTGAGTTTTTCACGCTCAACAGTTTCCCGTGTGTATCAAGAATGTTCCAACACCCAAAGGACATCCAGCCAACTTGACACAATTGTGGGAAGCATTGGAGACAAGATGGGCCAGCATCCCTGTGGAACGCTTTCGACACCTTGTAGAGTCCATGCCCCGACAAATTGGGGTTGTTCTGAGTGCAAAAGGGGGGGTGCAACTCAATATTAGGAAGGTGTTCTTAATGTTTTGTACACTCAGTGAACGTCAAGCGTTTGCTGGGACATTTCTCTCCTACACTAGGTGGGGCTGTTCTCCATGATAAGTGAGGGCTATATAATGGAATGACATCACTCCTTTCTCTTCCCCATTACACAAAAGAAGAACAAAGACAGTTTCCCCATGACAACAAAGGGCGCCAATTACACAGCGTTCATATTTTTTTTGTGTCTTTTTTTGGGGTAATTTAGCAGACGCTCTTATCCAGAGCGACTTACAGTTAGTGAGTGCATACATTTTTGAGGTGAAGACTGGTATGCTAGGTAATGCCATTTTGTATTTATAAGCCATATGTCACTGCCAGTCTGTCCACCAGGGACAAGTGTATCTCAACCTTTATGGTTGCGTCCCGAATAGCACCCTATTTCCTTTATAGTGCACTACTTTTGACCAAGGCCCATTTGGGACACACTATGAATTCAGTCCAAAATCCTTCAGCACAGCTAGGTCATATAATCATGACCCATCCACATTGCAAGGCCATAACACTCAACGTGTGGAGTCACCTTAACAAAAGGAAAAAGCCTGGTTTCTGATGAAGTGACAATATGCTAATACCAAAGGGGTATTGGCTTACCCTGTACTGCGACGGTAGGTAGTGCCAACGGGGCAGGGCACGGGAGTGGCATAGAGGTTCCCTGAGAACTCGGGGTCGGGCAGGCACACCTGGAGGGACAGGTCCTCGCTCAGCTTGAAGCCATAGTCACTGAGAGAGAGAGAAACGGAGAGAGAGGAGGGTGAGAGAGAGAGAGACGGAGCAAGAGAGAGAGACAGGGAGAGAGAGAAAAAGAGCGAGAGAGAGACGGAGAGAGAGAGAGAAAGAGAGAGAGACGAAAACAGAGAGCGCTAGAGAGAGACCCACTGTTAGCCTACCTGACTATGAAACTATGAACAGATAGAGATGAGTAGAAAAAGACTGTGGCACAATTCCAATCAACCCCTAGCCCCTACCATGAAAGGATAGCATAGGTGTAAAGTAAGGGAGAAACATTCCACCTAGTCCTAGCTTAACAGAAGGAAAGGTGGAGCTATTATCTTTCAGATTGATATAAGGTGCCTAGGGGTAGATAGATTTGGGATTGAACACGGGCTTGGTAATGGTGCCTCTGGTCTCACCATTCGTAGTCCTGGCGTGTGCAGGAGCAGTTGGACACGGTGACGGGGCGGTCAAAGTCTTCACCGTTGAAGCAGGTGGCGTGGGGCGTGCGTCGCTTGTACACCATCTCTCTACCCAGAAGGCAGTCGTTGCCCCGCTCGTCTGACGGGGACCAGCGCTTGTAGTCTCCCTCGGCGCATGGCACGCCTGAAGAGACACACAAATACACATTTTAAATACTTGATTTGGAATTGGATTATATTGTATTACAGTAGCATGGGGACAGAAGCATACATATGCCTGGACAGTGGACACACACGAATGCACAAACAAAACAAACACACACACACACACCTCAGTGAGACTCTGGCCCAATGGATGGATGTTTCTCATTGGCATTGTGAAAATGCACGACAAACTGACGCAAACGCACCAGGCTGAGCATACTTCAGTCATGACTTCTGCCCAGTGTAGCAATATTATGAGAGTCCACTCACCGAGCACATCGCTGGTGTTGACCTGCAGAATGAGCCAGCTGTGTCTCTGGTCGGCGTAGGAGCCAAAAATGGTAAAGATGGTGCTCTTCTCCCCCGGCTCCGTCAGCAGCTGGTAAACATACACCTCCCTGTCGGAGAAACGGAAGTCCGTCCACGTCTCCCCCTCATTGGTACTGAACCTGAGACACAGAGAGACAGTAGGTAAGTAGCCTTGTCCAAGCCAGAATAGCCCAAAGGGCAAATCTCCTAATTCACCACCTGGACAGGCTGCTAGTCTATCGCAGGGCCGACAGAGACAGTATGGAGATCAAAATTAGCATGGTTACAATATGTATACCCCTTTTTACACTACTGAGCCAAGCTAAGCTGTAGTGCATTGGCCTGGTTACGTATCCCATGTACTGTAGTAGCTGGAACCGTGCTGGAAAGGACAATGTGAAAATAATATTTCCGAGCCAGCACAGTACTGCTTGGTTGGCAGTGGCACAGTTGGGTTGAAAAGGGTATCATTCATTTAACCTTTATTTGACAAGGTAAGTGGACTGAAAGTCAACGACCTAAGGCAGAGTTGCGGTGGGAAGTAGAGGGGTGCAATGAGGAGGGGGTGATATACAGCATACTGTGCTATTCTAGCAGTGGAGATACAGTATGGGTCTTATTTAGGGCTGTTGTGAGACTCACTTGAGGTGTGTGGTGGAGCCCCCCTGGGCGATGGCCATGAGGATGCCCCCGTGGTCACCCCACGTGTAGAAGTGAGGACCGGCCAGCGCCTGGAGAAGGGGAATTGTGAAGAACACTCATTAAAGCCACAGTCCGTAAGATTGCTGGTCAATTTATATAGCTACCCCAATAAGACTAGTACAACTCTCGGGCCGTATTACCAAACATATTTGGATTGTCATGACACTTAAATGAGGTATACTATGTTCAGATTAAAAGTATGTTTAAAAGATTTTAAAAAGCATAATACTGCTCTCGTGAAATGTCACATCAAGAGAATGTGAAAATGTTCTGGGTGCTTTTGCTCCATTGTTTATGTTTTAGAGGGTTCCCAAGTCTTGGAATTGTACACACATCTTACAGAGTGTGGCTTTAAATAACTGCAGCACCATGTTTGTGGTTGTTTAATAATATGCTGTCAAAGAAAGTGTCCTCTGCTGGGCGTTCAGCATTGTGGCTAGGCGTTCCACAGAAACCCTTTGGTATGAGGGGGTAGCATAGGCAGGAAACATCCAAGAATAACCAACGTCATGATTTACAGCTCATCATGTGCATAGTTACATTTATGGCGCACACACCATACAAAAACAAAGCACACACACACACACACACACACACACACACACACACACACACACAAAAACACACACACACACACACACACACACACACACACACACACACACACACACACACACACACACAGACCTCTCTCCATCTGGCCCCAGCACTGCTGGACACATACACGTTGGGCTTGTTGGCCAGGTTCTTGCCCACAGAACCTGCAGGGGAGACAAAAACAGACACAGGATGATCACTGGAATGGCTGTGAGAGAGGAGGTGATGACTTGAACAGTACACACAGAGTGATTCAGTAGGAACACTACTGCAGCTTCAGGCGGTCTCCAGTCCTAGCAGGATACCGAGGCTTTGTCCCAAATAGCACCCTATTCCCTACATAATGCACTACTTTTGTCCAAAGCCCTATGGGCCCTGGTCAAAAGTAGTGCACCACATGCATAGGGAATAGAGTGCCGTGCAATTTGGGACGCCCTCAAGCACAGTGGCCAGCCCAGAGCACACAAAGCCGACAACAGATCAAATGTAGCTCACTATATAGGGAATAGGGTGCCATTTGAGATGCACCCATGAAGAAAGGTGCTACTGTAGCATAGCCCTATAGCTGGGTGGCTCTATATAGGGAGAGACTCCATCCAGGGTTAATAAACAGATGCTTGAGATCAAGGAGTAGGCCTATGTTCAGAAAAGTTCAAACAAACTCTGCATACCGCAACCTATTGTCCAGTGTGCTTTATTGTCAACATTAGATTGCAGTGTCAATACTCTCTCCTTGTTTTTGTTCGTTTTTTGTGTGTGCTTTTTACCCTTTTTCTCCCCAATTTCGTGACATCCAATTGGTAGTTACAGTCGTCTCATCGCTGCAACTCCCGTACGGACTCGGGAGAGGCCAAGGTCGAGAGCCATGCGTCCTCCGAAACACGACCCTGCCAAGCCAGCTGCACCAATGTGTCGGAGGAAACACCGTACAACTGGTGACCGTGTCAGCGTGCATGCGCCCGGCCCACCACGGGAGTCGCTAGAGCGCGATGGGACAAGGACATCCCAGCCGGCCAAACCCTCCCATAACCTGGACGACGCTGGGCCAATTGTGCGCCACTTCATGGGTCTCCCGGTCGCGTCCGGCTGCGACACAGCCTGGGATCGAACCCAGATCTGTAGTGACGTCTCAAGCACTGCGATGCAGTGCCTTAGACCGCTGCGCTACTCGGGAGGCAATACTCTCGCCTTACCATGTGCTGAACCTATAGGTATGGTTAATATCAAATCAGTCTGTAGTCATTCTAGGGGGAAGGCCCCAACGATTGTAATAAGTCTAATGGCTGTAACATCAAATATCTATTTATCCTAAGTGGAAGGTAGACCCCCATGCATGTTGCACCTAACGGTGTGCGAGTACTGATACCTGTTGTTGAATTCACAAGTGCAATATAGTGGGGGAAAAAAGTATTTAGTCAGCCACCAATTGTGCAAGTTCTCCCACTTAAAAAGATGAGAGAGGCCTGTAATTTTCATCATAGGTAAACGTCAACTATGACAGACAAAATGAGGAAAAAAAAATCCAGAAAATCACATTGTAGGATTTTTAATGAATTTATTAGCAAATTATGGTGGAAAATAAGTATTTGGTCAATAACAAAAGTTTCTCAATACTTTGTTATATACCCTTTGTTGGCAATGACACAGGTCAAACGCTTTCTGTAAGTCTTCACAAGGTTTTCACACACTGTTGCTGGTATTTTGGCCCATTCCTCCATGCAGATCTCCTCTAGAGCAGTGATGTTTTGGGGCTGTCGCTGGGCAACACGGACTTTCAACTCCCTCCAAAGATTTTCTATGGGATTGAGATCTGGAGACTGGCTAGGCCACTCCAGGACCTTGAAATGCTTCTTACGAAGCCACTCCTTCGTTGCCCGGGCGGTGTGTTTGGGATCATTGTCATGCTGAAAGACCCAGCCACGTTTCATCTTCAATGCCCTTGCTGATGGAAGGAGGTTTTCACTCAAAATCTCACGATACATGGCCCCATTCATTCTTTCCTTTACACGGATCAGTCGTCCTGTTCCCTTTGCTGAAAAACAGCCCCAAAGCATGATGTTTCCACCCCCATGCTTCACAGTAGGTATGGTGTTCTTTGGATGCAACTCAGCATTCTTTGTCCTCCAAACACGACGAGTTGAGTTTTTACCAAAAAGTTATATTTTGGTTTCATCTGACCATATGACATTCTCCCAATCCTCTTCTGGATCATCCAAATGCACTCTAGCAAACTTCAGACGGGCCTGGACATGTACTGGCTTAAGCAGGGGGACACGTCTGGCACTGCAGGATTTGAGTCCCTGGCGGCGTAGTGTGTTACTGATGGTAGACTTTGTTACTTTGGTCCCAGCTCTCTGCAGGTCATTCACTAGGTCCCCCCGTGTGGTTCTGGAATTTTTGCTCACCGTTCTTGTGATCATTTTGACCCCACAGGGTGAGATCTTGCGTGGAGCCCCAGATCGAGGGAGATTATCAGTGGTCTTGTATGTCTTCCATTTCCTAATAATTGCTCCCACAGTTGATTTCTTCAAACCAAGCTGCTTACCTATTGCAGATTCAGTCTTCCCAGCCTGGTGCAGGTCTACAATTTTGTTTCTGGTGTCCTTTGACAGCTCTTTGGTCTTGGCCATAGTGGAGTTTGGAGTGTGACTGTTTGAGGTTGTGGACAGGTGTCTTTTATACTGATAACAAGTTCAAACAGGTGCCATTAATACAGATAACGAGTGGAGGACAGAGGAGCCTCTTAAAGAAGAAGTTACAGGTCTGTGAGAGCCAGAAATCTTGCTTGTTTGTAGGTGACCAAATACTTATTTTCCACCATAATTTGCAAATAAATTCATTAAAAATCCTACAATGTGATTTTCTGGATTTTTTCTTCTCAATTCGTCTGTCATAGTTGACGTGTACCTATGATGAAAATTACAGGCCTCTCTCATCTTTTTAAGTGGGAGAACTTGCACAATTGGTGGCTGACTAAATACTTTTTTTCCCCACTGTATGGATTACAGCAGGCATCAATGCTCTGACTCTTTATTGTTTTATGTAGTTGTGTACGGCTCTCTCTCGGTCTGACACTCATCCTGAGAGCTGTTTCATTAAGCCACTGTATGTGAATGATGTCCTACTCCTCTGCACCACCACTAATGACTGTCGTTCTTGGAGGCCATATTAGCGGTGCTTTACAAATTAAGAAATGTCACAGGAACAAGTCACAAAACAAACGCTTCGGTGGAAATGTTTCCCCTAATAGGCGGTGTGGGGATGCTGGTTGTGTGTGGCTGGCTGGGTCCACACAAAGAGAGAGACGGTCTGTGTGTGTGTTTGTACCCGCTGGGTGAGGCAGAAGTAATTAGCGCATCTGTGTGTGAGCGATAAACACGGACGAGAGGGGCATAGCGTCTCCTCAGCCCTCCTCCCTCCCTGGCCATTATCTACTAATAATTTAATTAAGGGCTCTAGCAGCTCGCATGGTGTAGAGGCTTCTTCCTCCTTTCAGACACAGCACAACCACAAAGAAAATCAATGTACTCCGCCTAGCAGGCAGAAGCGTGAAGAGGTAGAGACAGAGAGACACTTTTAGTGGATTAAACACAATGGATTTGTGTCCAACTGCTCCTAGTGTAGCCCCAGTCAAAGCCTATTGCTCTGACCGGAGAGTACGCACAGTTACTAACATGCATGCACTCACACATACGCACATACCCATACCATGAACACACGCACTCAGAAAAAAACACTCAGAAATGAGCACTCAGAAAATATATATATATTTTCAAATAAATAGTCATTGTAGTTGTATGATGCTAGCCTAAGCCTCCCCACCTGTGGCCATGATGAGCCCTGGCGCTGACTCCTTGGACAGTATGGGCATCCTGCGCAGCTGAATGTTGAGAAGTTGGCTCCAGCGCTGGGCCAGGTGGAGGGAGCAGCCCTTGGAGAGCTATGGAGAGAGGGAGGGACAGGATGGGGGGGATAGAGGGACAGGATGGGGGGGATAGAGGGACAGGATGGGGGGGATAGAGGGACAGGATGGGGGGGATAGAGGGACAGGATGGGGGATAGAGGGACCGGATGGGGGGGATAGAGGAAGAGGATGGGGGGGATAGAGGGACAGGATGGGGGATAGAGAAGTGCCGAGGGGGTATAGAAGAGGGATGGATGGAGGGAGGGATGGAGAGGAGATGGAGAGAGATATAGAAAGAAAGAATGGAGGGATAGATAGATAGGAGAGATGGAGGGAGATAGAGTAGGGGGGAATGGAGGGAGGGATGGAGAGGCGTTGTGGAGGGAGAGGGGAGATGGAGAGAGAAGTGTTAGGTCAATGGTCAATGGAGACAACAATCCCTCTGGCAAAACCAAAAATAAATAAATACAAATATTAACTATTTTATCAGAAGTGAAGCTACATTTACATTATAGTAATTTAGCAGACCCTCTTATCCATAGTAGTGAGTGCATACATTTTCGTACAAGGGACACAACAAGGGAAACTTTCTAAAACCAAACAGAGCACACCTGTTTGCACCCAAACCCACTTCCCCTTTAGAATGCAAACACACAGTGTGGCCTCATGGCTGTTGTTCCTAACCACTAATGTAGGTTCATATTACCCCACCCCCAATCCCTACCTCAAAGGACTCATAGACTCAGCACTATGACAGTGTTACACACAACGGGGCAACTTCCTGCTTACAGACATCAACAAGAACATAATTAAATTCAAGACTGCCACTTTATTGGCTCTTCCCAATTTTTGCGCTCCCTTCAGGCATGCCTACATTAATACGAACCAACAGTAGGAGTCTTGGGCAGATCTTAATTAGGGCCGGGATGATACCCGTACCGCGACACTCGCTAGTATCGTAGAAAAGAAACAAAACTTATAACTTATTTAGAAAAACAGCCCTAGTGTTGGAAACAAACATCATTATGTTGTCATCCAGAGTCAGATTTATTTATTTTCCTGGCTATAGCACCCAATATTTTACATACAGCAGGTTTTTAAAGGACCAAAGACTTTTGTCTGCGTCGTATTTTCATTTTTGCCATGGAAAATATCACGATACTGCTATCGCCACAGCCCTAATCTTAATCCTGTTGTTGTTGAAATGTGTAAACAGGATGTCACCCCAATGTGTATGATGTCATATTGCTAAAGCTGCCAGCAATAGTCTACCAGATAGCTACAATCTGTGGTCTGTGTTTCAGTATCCTGTATCAGTGGTTAGGGGAAACCCACATACAGGGTCAGATGTTATTTTAACAGCTAGCTAGCTACCTGGCAGTCCAGTGTTCCTCCCAGGCTGTCGGCGGTGGGGGCCTGCAGCAGTTCCCAGGTGCCACCCTTGTCGAAGGTGATTACGGAGCTCATGTTGTCCTCGCTGAGTGAGCCATTGATGAGCGTGGCCACAAAGACGCCGCGCAGACCATCCACACGGTGCAGGTCAGCAAAGGGCTCGTTGGCAAAGTACCTGGGATGAAACACACACACAGGCACACGCACACATACACACACACAAATGCACATACACACACAGGCGCAGGTACACAAACACAGACAGATGCACATACATACACACACACACACACACACACACACAAACACACAGACATGATTAGCATCTATAACAACACAGTATCACGTTCAATGCATCTTGTGACTATGTTGGCCAAAGGAAACACGTGGTCTGCTCGTGTATTAAGGCCGCCTCACTATCAAGAAGCAATCAAGCTACTCTCACAACACAACTCCTGGCAGCTAGAGACGTGCTGGGAACCCAGTCATTTGACTAATTATAGGCCCTGGTCACTGGGATGTAAACATTTAAACACATGCAAAGGCCCTGCTGTTGTTTACCAACACTGAGGAGAAAACACACACACACATGCTGACTCATTGTGGTCACAAGGAATGCACACCAGGAGGTCCCCCAGTGCTGGCATGATCAGACGTAGCACTGATCGAACAGCCTCCTCTCATCTCTCCTTCAAAATAAATCAAGTTGGGTGGGTGCGCTTGATCAAGGTGGGTATACTTGATCCAAGGATGTGTGTACTTGATCAAGGAGTTCTGTTACGTTTGTTCCTAGCAAGACACTATAGATCTCAGAAGGTAGCCTACTAATTAGGCTGCCTTAACTGTGAGTCACTTCAGTATATTGCAGACTTGGGTTCAAATAGAACTGGTTTTCTTTTAAATGCTTTGGGAGATTGATTGAGCCTGCCTGGAGTGTCAGATGGGCAGGGTTTGCAGTTTTGGGACTTTCCTTTTGATTCTGTTGTGTCAGGTAAGCTCAATCAAGGGCAGCTTAAGTATTTGAGAGATACCAATACTATTTGAACCCAGATCTCAGATCATCGTTGCTTAGTAGAACACTGCAGTGTTTCCAAAACTGTTCCTGGGGGATACACCAAAGGGGTGCACATTTTGGTTCTAGCCCAGCACTAACAAGCCACTAATCACGGTGATAAGTCAATTAGCTGAATCTAATGATTTAGTGCTGGGCTGGAACAAAAATGTGCAACCCGTGATTAGTTATAGATCAATCAGGTGGGTTAGTGCTGGGCAGGCCTGAAACAAAAATGTGCAACCCGAGATTGGTTGATTAGGTCAAATAGAGGAAGCAGGTGTGTAAGTGCTGGCCTGGAGCAAAATTGTGCAACCCCCCACCCCACCCCCACAGTAGAGTATTGAGAAGCACTAGGACTAGGAACACTGTGCCTACCTGATGAGGGTGTTGCTGCCTGAACCCCCTGGGCTGTAGTATAGAACATTCTCCAGGGACAGGGAGAAGGACAGGCCCTGCGTGTCTGAGATGTACAGGTGGGTGACGTTGTTGACGTGGTTGACGCAAACAAACACCTGGTCCTCCGAGGCATCAGCGATGTAGTACTCCTGCAGGAGAAGAAGAGAGACATTGAGCAGTTTTCCTTATTTGTGTAGGGCATTATCAAAAGAAATCAGCCAAGACCTCAGAAAAACAAATGGTAGACCTCCACAAGTCTGGTTCATCCTTGGGAGCAATTTCCAAGCGTAGCAATGATAGGAGAGACCATGTGAGGATATGACAGAGCCAAGTGACTTATAAGTGAAATAATCTGTCTGTAAACAATTGTTGGAAAAATTACTTATAATAATATGCCATTTAGCAGACGCTTTTATCCAAAGCGACTTACACTTGTGTCATACACAAAGTAGATGTCCTAACCGACTTGCCAAAACTATAGTTTGTTAACAAAAAATTTGTGGAGTGGTTGAAAAACAAGTTATGACACCAACCTAAGTGTATGTAAACTTCCGACTTCAACTGTACATAGCATAGTTATAGCATTTCATTACAAACACATTTCCCAGTTTCTCAACGATACAGTGACAGGTTTGTTCTCTAGACTAGGAGTCTACTAGGAGCCACAGAGAGGATGTTTTGGTGTGGCGAAGCACGCCTGGAGACTCACTGTGATTGGGTGGCGGGTCATAAACTGGGCGGCTTTCATTGGCTGGCGGTTGTAGGACACCCACAGCTGGATGGACGACGGTTCATGGCTCCCCAACAAAGTCTGGAACCAACAGATGTACCATTAATCAATCAATCAATCAATAAGAAACACAAAGAGCCATGGAGGTGGCATAATGTCTACCTCCTAATTAATGTGACAAAATTATTATAGAATCTGCTAATATTAAAGGACCCCCTCCAGAGAAAGTTGACACCACTATTTCAACATAATTTCCCCTCCTAGAGAGGGAATGCACATTTAGGTTCCACCTTTGAAGAATGACGAAGGCTACTTACACATATTCACAAATTGGGTGTGGAAATGTCCACGTGGAGTTGATAAACATCAGCATATAGGGCACTGACAGCTGTCAGTGTAGCTAGCTAGCATGCTAACCTTATCTAGCTAGATAATGTTCTGTTGCATTTTTTTTTTTTTACCAGGCCTATACCAAAGCTTTCTCACAGATGGAAACCACTGGCCTATCTTCGACTTCACCACAGATGGAAACCCCTGGCCTATCTTCGACTTCGCCATCTATTGTTATCTTCAAAGTTTTGGCATCTTCCATAAATTGCGGCCGCGAATCCGCCATAGAAAGGGTTAGAAAGAATAAGATGAAGCTCCGGTAATATGGACAACTATTGAAAGATAGCTAATATGCGTTTTTTCTACACTGTAATGGACATGGTGTAACCTTTGGTAGAAGGTAGGCTGCTGGCAGGCTTTGGCTGCGGTACAGCAAAGCCAATCAGCCTGTGCTCATGGTTCTCACAGGGGAAGTGAAATGATAGGCTACAATGACTTTGCTCATGATCATGCACACTGCAAATGACATGTACCTATAATTTCCTTAAATTTTCTTTCTAGATAGCTAGAAACCACAAGTGTCTGACGTTATACCAATCAAAGCAGTGGAGCGTGTAGGGAGGCAAAACTTTAGTGGTCAAAACCATTCATCTTGGGGCGACGGGGGGAGCGGGTTTGCAAAATGATATATCACGCAATTACAACATTTATAAAATGGTCGGATACAGTGGGGGAAAAAAAGTATTTAGTCAGCCACCAATTGTGCAAGTTCTCCCACTTAAAAAGATGAGAGAGGCCTGTAATTTTCATCATAGGTACATGTCAACTATGACAGACTAAATGAGGAAAAAAAATCCAGAAAATCACATTGTAGGATTTTTTATGAATTTATTTGCAAATTATGGTGGAAAATAAGTATTTGGTCACCTACAAACAAGCAAGATTTCTGGCTCTCACAGAACTGTACTTCTTCTTTAAGAGGCTCCTCTGTCCTCCACTCGTTACCTGTATTAATGGCACCTGTTTGAACTTGTTATCAGTATAAAAGACACCTGTCCACAACCTCAAACAGTCACACTCCAAACTCCACTATGGCCAAGACCAAAGAGCTGTCAAAGAACACCAGAAACAAAATTGTAGACCTGCACCAGGCTGGGAAGACTGAATCTGCAATAGGTAAGCAGCTTGGTTTGAAGAAATCAACTGTGGGAGCAATTATTAGGAAATGGAAGACATACAAGACCACTGATAATCTCCCTCGATCTGGGGCTCCACGCAAGATCTCACCCTGTGGGGTCAAAATGATCACAAGAACGGTGAGCAAAAATCCCAGAACCACACGGGGGGACCTAGTGAATGACCTGCAGAGAGCTGGGTCCAAAGTAACAAAGCCTACCATCAGTAACACACTACACCACTAGGGACTCAAATCCTGCAGTGCCAGACGTGTCCCCCTGCTTAAGCCAGTACATGTCCAGGCCCGTCTGAAGTTTGCTAGAGTGCAATTGGATGATCCAGAAGAGGATTGGGAGAATGTCATATGGTCAGATGAAACCAAAATATAACTTTTTGGTAAAAACTCAACTTGTCGTGTTTGGAGGACAAAGAATGCTGAGTTGCATCCAAAGAACACCATACCTACTGGGAAGCATGGGGGTGGAAACATCATGCTTTGGGGCTGTTTTTCTGCTAAGGGACCAGGACGACTGATCCGTGTAAAGGAAAGAATGAATGGGGCCATGTATCGTGAGATTTTGAGTGAAAACCTCCTTCCATCAGCAAGGGCATTGAAGATGAAACGTCGCTGGGTCTTTCAGCATGACAATGATCCCAAACACACCGCCCGGGCAACGAAGGAGTGGCTTCGTAAGAAGCATTTCAAGGTCCTGGAGTGGCCTAGCCAGTCTCCAGATCTCAACCCCATAGAAAATCTTTGGAGGGAGTTGAAAGTCCGTGTTGCCCAGCGACAGCCCCAAAACATCACTGCTCTAGAGGAGATCTGCATGGAGGAATGGGCCAAAATACCAGCAAGTGTGTGAAAACCTTGTGAAGACTTACAGAAAACGGTTGACCTGTGTCATTGCCAACAAAGGGTATATAACAAAGTATTGAGAAACTTTTGTTATTGACCAAATACTTATTTTCCACCATAATTTGCAAATAAATTCATAAAAAATCCTACAATGTGATTTTCTGGATTTTTTTTTCTCATTTTGTCTGTCATAGTTGACGTGTACCTATGATGAAAATTACAGGCCTCTCTCATCTTTTTAAGTGGGAGAACTTGCACAATTGGTGGCTGACTAAATACTTTTTTTCCCCACTGTATACAGTTGAAGTCGAAAGTTTACATACACTTTAGCCATATACATTTAAACTCAGTTTTTCACAATTCCTGACATTTAATCCTAGTAAAAATTACCTGTCTTAGGTTAGTTAGGATCAACACTTTATTTGAAGAATGTGAAATGTCAGAATAATAGTGGCGCGAACGATTTATTTCAGCTTTTATTTATTTCATCACATTCCCAGTGGGTCAGAAGTTTACATACACTCAATTAGTATTTGGTAGCATTGCCTTTAAATTAACTTCGGTCAAACGTTTCGGGTAGCCTTCCACAAGCTTCCCACAATTAGTTGGGTGAATTTTGGCCCATTCCTCCTGACAGAGCTGGTGTAACTGAGTTAGGTTTGTAGGCCTCCTTGCTCGCACACGCTTTTTCAGTTCTGCCCCACAAACGTTCTATAGGATTGAGGTCAGGGCTTTGTGATGGCCACTCCAATACCTTGACTTTGTTGTCCTTAAGCCATTTTGCCACAACTTTGGAAGTATGCTTGGGGTCATTGTCCATTTGGAAGACCCATTTTTGACCAAGCTTTAACTTCCTGACTGATGTCTTTAAATGTTGCTTCAATATATCCACATAATTGTCCTTCCTCATGATGCCATCTATTTTGTGAAGTGCACCAGTCCCTCCTGCAGCAAAGCACCCCCACAGCATGATGCTGCCACCCCTGTGCTTCACGGTTGGGATGGTGTTCTTCGGCTTGGAAGCAACCCCCTTTTTCCTCCAAACATAATGATGGTCATTATGGCCAAAGAGTTCTATTTTTGTTACATCAGACCAGAGGACATTTCTCCAAAAAGTACGATCTTTGTCCCCATGTGCAGTTGCAAACCGTAGTCTGGCTTTTTTATGGCGGTTTTGGAGCAGTGGCTTTTTACTTGCTGAGCTGCCTTTCAGGTTATGTCGATATAGGACTCGTTTTACTGTGGATATAGATACAGTGAGGGAAAAAAGTATTTGATCCTCTGCTGATTTTGTACGTTTTCCCACTGACAAAGAAATGATCAGTCCATAATTTTAATGGTAGGTTTATTTGAACAGTGAGAGACAGAATAACAACAAAAAAATCCAGAAAAACGCATGTGAAAAATGTTATAAATTGATTTGCATTTTAATGAGGGAAATAAGTATTTGACCCCCTCTCAATCAGAAAGACTTCTGGCTCCCAGGTGTCTTTTATACAGGTAACGAGCTGAGATTAGGAGCACACTCTTAAAGGGAGTGCTCCTAATCTCAGTTTGTTACCTGTATAAAAGACACCTGTCCACAGAGGCAATCAATCAATCAGATTCCAAACTCTCCACCATGGCCAAGACCAAAGAGCTCCAAGGATGTCAGGGACAAGATTGTATACCTACACAAGTCTGGAATGGGCTACAAGACCATCGCCAAGCAGCTTGGTGAGAAGGTGACAACAGTTGGTGCGATTATTCGCAAATGTCAATCTCCCTCGGCCTGGAGCTCCATGCAAGATCTCACCTCGTGGAGTTGCAATGATCATGAGAACGGTGAGGAATCAGCCCAGAACTACACGGGAGGATCTTGTCAATGATCTCAAGGCAGCTGGGACCATAGTCACCAAGAAAACAATTGGTAACACACTACGCCGTGAAGGACTGAAATCCTGCAGCGCCCGCAAGGTCCCCCTGCTCAAGAAAGCACATATACAGGCCCGTCTGAAGTTTGCCAATGTACATCTGAATGATTCAGAGGAGAACTGGGTGAAAGTGTTGTGGTCAGATGAGACCAAAATCGAGGTCTTTGGCATCAACTCAACTCGCCGTGTTTGGAGGAGGAGGAATGCTGCCTATGACCCCAAGAACACTATCCCCACCGTCATACATGGAGGTGGAAACATTATGCTTTGGGGGTGTTTTTCTGCTAAGGGGACAGGACAACTTCACCGCATCAAAGGGTGTGGCATCAACTCACCCGTCAAATCTTGGGTGAGAACCTCCTTCCCTCAGCTAGGGCATTGAAAATGGGTCGTGGATGGGTATTCCAGCATGACAATGACCCAAAACACACGGCCAAGGCAACAAAGGAGTGGCTCGAGAAGAAGCACATTAAGGTCCTGGAGTGGCTCCCATAGAAAATCTGTGGAGGGAGCTGAAGGTTCAAGTTGCCGAACGTCAGCCTCGAAACCTTAATGACTTGGAGAAGATCTGCAAAGAGGAGTGGGACAAAATCCCTCCTGAGATGTGTGCAAACCTGGTGGCCAACTACAAGAAACGTCTGACCTCTGTGATTGCCAACAAGGGTTTTGCCACCAAGTACTAAGTCATGTTTTGCAGAGGGGTCAAATACTTATTTCCCTCATTGAAATGCAAAAATCAATTCATAACATTTTTGACATGCGTTTTTCTGGATTTTTGTTGTTGTTATTCTGTCTCTCACTGTTCA